TACCTATTAAAGTCTACTTTAAGCTTTAAATCAATTAATCTTCAAAACTGCGGAACCGAAATACATTAGTTTTATGGCATTATAAAGGGAATTGAGAGACCTTTAAAATAAGGTATCACTCGACCCCCCTTTCCATTTAGGATTTTAGGGTTGGTGTCACCCCGCCCAGGGGGCTGCACGTGTTAACGTGATTTTTTGCCAAATTGTGTCCCCATCGAAAACAAAATCGACGGGTCTGAGCGTTTTTCCAAAAAAAAACTGAGCTGCCAGTAAATGCGTCGGTTTTGTTTTCGATGCGCCACACTGTATATCGGATTCTTCGTGTGTCGTTTTTTTTTTCCCCTCCAACTTCGTTTCCTCAGGTTACACCCGTATCCGGTTGTGTGGGCATGTGTATCTACTTTTGTAGTTTCATATGTGCATTCATTTCGGGCCTGATGAAGCCAACCATCAGAAATACGTATCGCTCGGGTTACCTATCCTGTTTTCTGCTCGAATCCACTTTCCTCCTTTTTGCGGATTTTACCCATTATTTTCCTACCTGTTGTTATATATATATATACAGGGTGACTTCGAAGTTGAGTCATTTATTTTAACAGTGAGTAGATCTGATCAAAAGAAATGTTTTTTTCCTTTACCATTTTCCTGGTAAAATTAAAGTAACAAAGTTATAGCCCTTTGGAAGTTTGAGTACCGCCCTGTCTCAATAACAATATTATGTGGTCGTGTTTGGCGACAATGGATATAATCCGCCGTATCGGTTCATCGCATCGGAAACAAAAAAGCGAAAGAATTTGGAACGATGTTTTTACAAGTATCTCATTCATTTGTATACAGTTAGTGTCAGTGAATAGTGGTATGTGTTGCGTGGCTCAAACGAAATAAAAAATGGCACATGTTTATGCGGATCGGTTTCCCAATCGAGTGCAACCAACCCCTCGTGCCTTTGTTAATGTAGTACAACGGGCTTGTGAATCAGGTGACTTAAGACCTCACAGGGGACCTCACGATCAAATACAGGTCCGCACTGAAATACTTGTCGGGAGGATACTTTATAAAACAAGGTAAAATTTTTTTTTTATTTTTTTTTTATTTTTACACACATATTTTGGTTTATCTTCTTTCTACAATCATTATCTGAAAATTAATGACTCAACTTCAAAGTCACCCTGTATATATATATATAACTTGAGACGTGGTCATTGTCGTCTAGACCAGTTAGGTGAAAAATTACTACTTTAATTAATTAATTACTTCGACAGTACCCAACAAAATGCGGAAGCTTTAATTTTTCACCTATATATATATATATATATATATATTGAATAAATTGTAATACTTGATACGTGAATAAACCTATATTGTTATTGTTATTATTATTATTATTATTATTATTAGGCTTCACAGCTCTTTGCGAACTATGCAAGAAATATCATGTCCTGAAATCGTCTAACACCATAATTATCTGCAATCACTAGCACCTTAAAGGCACGACAACGCTAAAAAGACGAATTTAATGACAGAACTGTCAAAAAATTAACTTACTTCAAGTCCACCTGCAGTATGCACTCTCACCCTGACTACAGTCTGAGATCTTCTAAACAAACAAATCGTAGGTTTGCTCATGCTACCTAGTCTGAATCAGTTGGGTAAAATAGACTTATTTTTGCCTTCAGAGGTTTGAAAAATATAATTTTCTGATTTTTATACTCAAAACTGATTTGTGGCAAATACCAAACCGAACCCATACCTTCCTAATCTGCAAGTCCTCTGGAAAAAAAATGATCCGCCAGTGCGTTATCATATAAACAGACAATCCCCATGGAACGGTACTTCCACACATTTAAATAGGGGGCTGTGACCCCTCGATTGTCGGTCGCGCCACAGCACCCTCCGCCCGAGCGTGGACTTGTTGCGTTGTCATGATAGGGTGAGATGTTCAGCTGTTTCGTCGTGGCCGTCGTGGATCGCGGCAGGCCATATCGCGCCACCTGGCTGGAATCAACAGCTGACCCTGTGCGGTGCCACGGCATAGACAAGCGAGAAACGACATCTGTTTACGTCACGGCTGATGCGATGCCGACAATACGACAAATATGAGCTGGCTGATTAAAAAAGAACGCTGGAACCTGTGTCAGGGTAATTAAGGGGATAACTACCCCGCCGGCTATAAACGCCGCTCGTAGCGTAGGTGACCAGAACACGCATAAAGAGAAAGGGATCAGCGGGCTTAGGATGTTAGGAAGTGATCGATTCAATTCCAATTTGCTTGATGAGAATATTTGGTTTTTATAAATCGGTTTGGATATATTATTTTATCATTATTTTTTAATCAATTTTTAAGTAATCGATCTATCTCTCTCAGGTCCGGTTTTTCAATTGCAAGTTAACTTTCTGGATGGTCAACTATAACAACCCGTGCGCATTTTAACACTATGGTATAGGATTCGGCACCAGCCTTAATTTTATTGGTCAATTTCAATTTATTTAAAAAATATCAAGCTGTGTGCCGAAATCATTACCGAAATGTGCTGAAAACAGTGTCAGAATGTTATCAATTTAAACTGCGTCTATTAATATATATAAATATAATAATAATAATAAATATAAAAAGGAGCATTTGTTCATGATTTTTCGGATCTGATAAACGACAAGAAGTTTTTTAATTATTTTTGAATGGGTTCCAAATCTTTTGACGAATTAGATGACGTCTCCCCACCTCTTCAGTCGATATTTCACTGTCTATATCAGCGTCCGTCATTTTCAACGCACTGCTTTCCGTCGCTCGTGTGCACTCAATGATATAATCTAATGTACCGCTTCGCCGTCGAACGTTGGACGTCGACGTCCTGCGTCTACGTTCTATGTGAATTGATCCATTCACAGCAATGTATTTCCGAGACGTGAGTATTTTAACGTTAACTTGTAGTTGCCTGTAAATGCGTTTTTCAAGTATTTTGACAGCGGCACTTAACTTACCAGAAGTTCATCAAATATTTATGTTTCAGCTCTGCATCGACAGTTCTTAGATATCGTGTTATATAAGTCATAATTGACAGCTCGTCTTTTTTCAATGAATTTTTTAAAATAGTCGAAACTTGAGTAAAGCCTTCGTTAAGCAAGGTAAGGTTTTGCAAACATTGCTTGTACAAATGCTTAGTAGTGGCCCCTGTAGATGGAATTATATAATTGGCACTTGCCTGGCTTCTGGGCCACCAGACCTGACAGACTAACGACAAACACTGAAATTACAGTGTCCAGTGTCTACGAACTTAAGGCTGAGGTCCTCCAGACCGCCTTGAGAAGCAGCGTCGAGCAGTAGACTGATGATAAAAACAGCTGATGCTAATCGAACTTACGTAGGTAAAAAATACGCCAAAAATACAACTAAGTTTGCAAACATCTGTTAAATATCGTGTTTGCCACCCTTTTCAGCATCACTTCTATAATGTACGACCCAAAGATAAGTCTTCAGCAGCGGAGATAAAAATACGGCTATTCCTGTTGCTAATTTATAATAAAGACTTTTCTAGCATGGAGCAAGAGAACATCGAAAAAAGAGGTAAACATTTCTCAAAAGATGAGGAAATAATGTTAGTATCACCGGTCAGTAAAGAGAGCAAAAAAGTGGCACAATCTCCTGGAAAGAGTTCTGTTTGTACAGTCCTCTTCATAAGACGATATCTTGCATAGCAATTCAGGTCGTTAAATTCATCGTAGTAATGGTAAACAGACCGATCGTACTTAGCCTGCAACTGAAAAACCGGCAGGAGTATCACGTAGCTTGAAAAGTACCATTAACCCCTTAAGGAGTAATGACGTATATATTCGCCAACATATTTTTCATCCAGGTTGATTATGACGGATATATTCGCCAAGAATATTTTATTGAGGCCGTCCATGACTATCACGAATACGTTCGCCAGTGATGATTCCACCGTACATACAGGGTGACTTTGAAGTTGAGTCATTAATTTTCAGATAATGATTGTAGAAGGAAGATAATCCAACATATGTGTGTAAAAATAAAAAAAAAATGTTACCTTGTTTAATAAAGTATCGTCCCGACAAGTATTTCAGTGCGGACCTGTATTTGATCGTGCTGTCTTGGAGTATCATGCCCTGACCTATGAGGTCTTAAGTCACCTGATTCACGAGCCCTTTGTACTACATTAACAAAGGCACGAGGGGTTGGTTGCACTCGATTGGGAAACCGATTCGCATAAATCCGTGATGCATCCGGGAGCATTTTGTAAAGACTGCCCCCCCGTAAATAAGAATCATGTCCACAAGTTCAGCATTTTCGTAAACATGTGCCATTTTTGATTTCGTTTGAGCCACGCAACAAACACTACTATTCACTAACGCGTTATCGACTGACAAAAAACATCGTGATAAACGTTTCAAATTCTTTCGCTTTTTTGTTTCCGATGCGATGAACCGGTCAGGCGGATTATATCCGTTGTCGCCAAACGCGAACATATTATTATTGAGACAGTGCAGTACTCAAACTTCCAAAGGGCTATAGCTTTGTTACTTTAATTTTACCAGAAAAATGGTAAAGGAAAAAAACATTTCCTTTGATCAGATCTACTCACTGTTAAAATAAATGACTCAACTTCGAAGGAACAATTACTTGTGTTTGTGATACCAGCAACACCGAAAGTAGCTAGCTGTCTACCGCCGTTTGATTTTGGTGCAAGCTGGCAGTCATTATTGCGAATCAGATAATGATTTTAATTTCAACGAGAATTTTGAAGAGAGTGATACCGAAAGTGAGCATGAACCTGATCTTGATCCAAGTTTGTGAAATGCCCTAGACAGACAACGGAATTCATAGGTCAGCGTTCCATTTCACGTCAAGCAGTGGTGTGCAAGTAAACAATTTAAAGGATATATTGAATATTTTTTAGATGATGATCTAATAGATATAACAGTCAGAGAAACGAACAGATATGCATCGCAGTATATTTCTTCGAATCAATATAAGCTCAAGCCAAATGCCCGAGCTAAAAAATACAGATAGCAATGAAATTAGGACCCTTATAGGGTTGCTAATATTACAGAGCATCTGCCCTAAGCCTGAGTACAAAATGTACTTTTCACGACGAGAGAGCAGCGAGACTCCTTTTTTCTCTAAAGTCATTGGTGGGAGACGACTTCATTTGTTGCTAAAGTTTTTACACTTTGTAGATAATTCTACTATGTATCCACATACAAAACGTCGAAAATTGATGAAGTTTGACCAGTTTTAATGAGTCCTTGATAGGATGGAAAGGCAGACTTGCTTGGAAACGGTTCATACCTTCGAAAAGGAAACAATTTGGAATTAAAATGTTTGCCTTATGTGAAAGTTACAGTGGTTACATGTACAACTATTTAGTTTATACTAGCGCAGATACTGAATACAAAGCTTTGTATATAAATGAACCATTTATTTCGAGGGTAGTGTTGACATTGATTCATCCTCTTTTAGATAAGGAATATCGCATGTTTTTAGATAATTAATATACAAGCATAGACCTGTGCGACCAGCTAGTAAAAAGAAGGACGGATAGCGTTGGAACAATGAGAATAAATAGAAAAGGAATACGACGGGAATTAAAAGCAAAATTACAGAGAGGAGAAACTGTAGCACGTTTTAGAGGAAAACTCATGATTCAGAAAAGGCGCGACAAAAAAGACGTCCTTATGATAAGCACAGTCCACGATGACAGCATGAAAAAAATTGCAGCAAGGTGTGGGGATATTGAAAAGCTTTCTTACGTAATCCATTACAATGCCAGCATGGGTGGTGTTGATTTATCTGACAATTACCTCAACTTTTATGGAATTGCTCGTACTAGAGTTAAAAAATTCTACATAAAGATGTTTTTCTATTTTCTAAGTGTCACTACGTTGAATGCTTTTCAAATTTATAAGAAGAATGGTGGAAAACTAAAAAGACTGAACTTTTTACTGGAGCTGGGTGAGAAGATAGTGAAAAAATACAGCAAACCCTTACAAGACTGACTAAAAGGCATTTTCCATCGATAATACCACCAACAACAAAAGCAAAACCGACAAACAGGTAAGTCAAAAACTTATCACTCTACGTTTGTCTTATTGCGTTTTTCTTCACTTCAGATGCGTTTTATGTGCTGAAAGAAAGAAGCAAAAAGAGATTCGTTATTGGTGCCTAGAGTGTCGCACTGGTCCTCTGTCCTGCACCTTGTTTTGGGATATAACCATACGAAAGAATAATATGTATTTTCTACTATGTATCGGCTGTATTTTGTTTTAAAATAAATAATTTTCAAGTAATTTTATGAGCTTTACTTGTTTAAAAACAGTACTAACCATGGTGACTGTCCCGTATATGTACACACTTCATTTAAAGTAACCCAGTTCACGTGAATTTGACGAATATGTACGCCTGCGCATCTAATGGGCGATTTTTTTGCTAGTATCTTTTTGGCAATACTGTTTTTGACAGATGACGCGTGAATCGTGTCTTGTGTCATGGTCAAACTTGTTCAGTTAGGTCCATAATTTAACCAAATTATTGAATTCTACTATCAAAATTCATGCTGGGTTAAGAGAGTGCATTGAGCACTGCTTCCAATTTATAGGCAATTTGGTCGGCCTACTGAGGGAACTATTCGGAAGCTTGTGACTAAATTTCGAATCCAGTTTACATTATTGGACATTAAACCACCAACACCCAGACGTAGTGTGAGGACTGAAGAAAATATTGCGGCTGTATCCGCCAGTGTTAGTGATGACCGTAAAATGTCGATTCGCCGCCGTTCGCAGCATTTGGGCCTCTGTTACTCCACTACGTGGAAAATTTTGCCACAGAATTTGGGTGTAAAACCTTATAAGATACAGCTGGTGCAAGAATTGAAGCCACACGACCTCCCACAACGTTTCCAATTTGGTGAATGGCCGCTGGCAAAGTTGGAGGACGATCCACATTTTTATCGAAAAATTATGTTCAGCGACGAAGCTCATTTCTGGTTGAAAGGGTACGTTAACAAGCAAAATTGCCGCATCTCGAATGAAGACCAGCCAGAAGCATTGCAAGAGCTACCAATGCATCCCGAAAAAATTACTGTTTGGTGTGGATTATGGGCCGGTGGCATCATCGGGCCGTACTTCTTCAAAGACGACAATGCCGGAACGTAACTGTGAATGACGGGCGCTACCGTGCGATGATAACAAACTTTTTTTGCCCAAAATGGAAGAGCTGGACTTGGCTGACATGTAGTTTCAACAAGACGGTGCCTCATGCTACACCGCACACGAAATGGCCTTATTGAGAGGCGAGTTCGGTGAACAGTTTATCTCACGTTTGGGGCCCGTCAATTGGCCGCCTAGATCATGTGATTTAACGCCGTTGGACTATTTCCTGTGGGGCCATGTTAAGGCTAATGTCTACAGGGATAAACCAGCAACGATATTGAAGCATTTATTCGTGAGATACCGGCCGATATGTTGGAGAGAGTGTGCCAAAATTGGACCTTGCGCATGGGCCATCTAAAGCGGAGCCGCGGCCAACATTTACATGGAATAATCTTTAAACATGAAATTATATCGACCGTTCTATCGACTCAAATAAAGATTCAATCGTTTTTTCAAATTTTTTGTGTTTTTTCTTTAAAATCAAATCCTATACCTCTTAAAAAATCATCCGTTATTATCAGAGGCAAAGACGAATATGCACGCAAGCGGTAAAATGACGTGCCACCTGAAATGTCATCGCTAAAAGTTGCTACAGCCACTTAAATAATTGCAGGCAACCCAAATCCACGTCCCTCGCCAAGTGTAGGGTTGTATTTGACTGGTATAGGGCATAAAACTACATGGAGTACATTTTTTAGCTTTATCTTTAGTTCCAGCCCTTTTTCGATGAAAAATATGGAACTATCTGGATCATTTTAAAAAAGCTGTGGAGAATGAGGCCTACAGGCAGACTATACTGAGGTCCAAGACTGGATCCACAGAACGTAAAGTCGATACTCAACTTCGCCAGGAGAGCGGGCCTTGGCTCCAGCTGGCATGTCATTTGGCCCACGTGGCGGGATCTCTTGGTGGCTGGACTGCTTTCATACTTCTAGTTTAACTTCAGTTTTTCTTCCTAGACAAGCGGGATATGACATATTTTTACATCACGTCCCATGCGACTCCGACAATGCAGCAAATACGTATGAGCTGGCTGGTTCAAAAGGAGCGCTAGAACCTGTGTCAGGGAATTTAGGGAAGTAACTATTTTGTCGGGTATAAACGCCGCTCGTGGAGTAACTGGCCAGAATACGCATAAAGTTGTGTGAACTGAATGGACTATAGTAAGGCCTGGAACAGCAGAAGGGCTAATAACTAGCAATTTGCCATAAGATATATCTGTAATCTGTGTGTTCTTAAATTCCAAGGTTTCGTTCGGCAAAATTTCCACTTCCGTCACCAGTTGTAAGAAGCATAGTCAACTGGTAATTTTGGACGCTGATACTGAAGATGGTTATTACCGTGACGCCCTACTAGGTAGATAAATGGATTTTGGTTTGTTTCCAATATTTGCATTTTTCAATGTTGTATTAATTATAAATGTTAGCAAACTGGGAGTGCGCACTCAAATAGACAAGTGAAATAAAATGAATCAGAGTTACATCATAGATGGCAGTCTTCCTTTTGCAACGCCGGTGACTATCCTAAAGGAACACTTACCGATAAAGAGATCTGCTTTTGTTAAGCGTAAATAGCTTTCTACAATCCACACTAAAACTATGTGAAAACCCACGCACTTTTATATATTGTCTCAATAAAATGCGGTGTGTCAGCAACTGTAAAACTGGTGGGTTAATCACGATCGCCTAGTAGTATGCATCTGCATTCTGACTATTGACTATGATTTCCTGGATCCAAACAAGTCGCATGCCTGCTCCACCTACCTGGGCGACTTTTTCTGTTTGTAGCCAACGCAAGTGAAGCTATCAATTGGATTTAATTTCCAGGGTAATATAATAATAATAATAATAATAATAATAATAATGTTTATTGGAGTATTAATACATAATAGAATCAAAATACGAGCAAATAATATAACACAAAAAAAATAATACTCCAAAGGGCTGGGGATTGGCATAGCCATTTTTCACCCCCGCCTGAATAGCTAAGGTAAAGTACATTACTACTATATATCTTACTAGGGTATATCATATACATTACATAAAGGATATTTGGTTGACTATAATAATGCTAACAAAACTTTAAAATATAATAAGATTAATAATGAGATTTATTCAGCCACTTGTGGATTCATTAAATTGTAACTGCAATAGCATTCTTTTGAATTCTCTTTTGAAGCTGTGAATGGACGTTAATTTAAAGAAACTTGGGTAATCATTTAGTATACTGGGAGCTATGTAATAGAAACATTTTTTAAATTTTGAGGTAGTGTGAGCTGGTATATTATAACAATATTCATTACGGAGGAACAGTTGATGGAGTGAAGATCTTTTCTCTAATGTGTCAAAAAGATATTTCGGAGATTTATATTTTAAAACCCTAAATAGTAGAACAGCATAGAGAAGTAACGAGCGATATTTGAACTTTAAAAGATTTTCCCTTACATAATACCCAGTAATGTGTTCGCGTCTGTTTATCTCATTGAAACAAAACCTCATACAATGGTTTTGTAAAACTTGAATTTTCTGTTGCATTTCCTCAGTGATAAAAGGGTAATATACAGTACTACAATAATCTAAATGTGTGAGGATTAATGCATTAACAAGTTTTAGTTTGATATCACTTGTTAATATATACTTATATCTCCATAGCGATTTGTATTTATAGTAACATATTCTGAGCTTATTTATAATGTGACTTTCAAAACTTAAATTCTTATCAAGTACTATTCCCAAATTTTTTGTTTCTTCAACAAATTCAATGTTAATTCCTTCTAAAAATATGTTCGTATTTATTACTTGTTTACATTTCAGAATCGCTAGTCTAGAACCAACACAACATACTTTGGTTTTCAAGGGATTGAGCTTCAAACAATGATTTTTTGAGTACTGTTCAATTATGTCTAAATTTTTATTAAGTTCTAATATTAAAGAATTTACATCGGTTGGTTGACATGGTTTGTAAACTTGTACATCATCCGCATACAAATGTACATTCCAGTCAGATGATATATGTTTTATCAGATCTGAGGTATAAAAAGTAAATAAAATAGGACCTAAAACGCTGCCTTGTGGAACACCAGACTTCAAAGCTCGTAAAGTAGACACTTTACCATGCAATTTTACACATTGAGATCTATCAAACAAGTAATTACTAAACTACAGCATGGCATTTCCGGTCAAACCATAATGGTGCAGTTTTTCACACAAAACTCTGTGATTTACCATGTCAAATGCATTGCTGAAGTCTAGCATGACTAGTAGCGTTATCATGCCATCGTCTATAAATTTCACTATATCACTGGAAATTTTAATGAGCGCTGTAGATGTATTATGTAATTTCCTAAACCCAGACTGGGTGTCAGGCAACACTTTGTTAATTTCTAGATGCTCACGAAGTTCATCATCTACAATTTTCTCTAACAGTTTGGACATTGAAGGTAAAGCACTTATTGGTCTGAGGTCCTTAAAATCGATGGCATTATTAACTTTTGCAAGTGGTGTTATGACTGCTTTTTTCCATAATGATGGCACGATCATTACCGCCTGGCTGTTGAGCGAGCTGTAGAGGCTTTTCTCTGTCGCCTTTTCTAAATTCCAAAAGCGGCGTTGCACCCTTTTCTGTGGCAGGCTACGTTACTAACCATCACCACGACTAACGCTGGCACGGCTCGTTCAAAAGTCCTATTATTCTAACATGACTAACGCGGCCGCCTTCCCTTGGTAAAGTTTAATTAAAAACCGAAAACGACTGTACGCGTAGACGTGTGGCTCGAAATTCAGAGCCGTAGTACAGTCAAATTGGATAATGACGCGAGACAATCATGTAACTTAGAAATGATTTATAACCTCTGACCGCAGACAAAAGTATCGTTAGCTCCTGTCCACCTATGAAAAGAATATAGCTGGCTGACAAGCAGGCTTTTTGTACAGCAGAATACTAGATTAGCTTAATAATAAAAATGATAAGGCGTTATATAAAAGACAACAAGGTTAATTAATTTTCTAGTTACTTCCGTGTAAACGTTAAGTGCTTAACATAACAAGGAATACAGAATTCCTACACTTGCTAGTCTGTTGTCTCATTGCCGCTTTGAATCAGATATGTAGAATGGTAAATCTTCTAAATTTCATTTAGTTTCCTAGGCTAAAGCTCCAATTGGGCTACTGTTAGTAAATGATATATGTATGTGTATCAGACTTGCGTCGAATACTGAAATCCGGTATTCGAATAAGGATCCTGAATACAGTATTTTAAATTGTACTTGAATACCTAACATTCGAACACAGAAAATATTTGAAAACCGCTGCTTTGAATACCTGAATTCATTTAAATGTATATTACAAAAAGTATTAATAGTTTTTGGATATTCCAACCCAAAAAACAACTGCGCACTTAATTAATAATAATAAACCGTCTTTTATTAGAAAAAACAAATTACAGATAATGCATATATTATTATCTATAATTAGATTAGTGAGCAGCTTAATGGCGAAGTTTAGCTATGACAGCTATTCTTACACTTAACCATTAACTGCATAAGAATAATAGATGCTAAAAAAGTACAGCTGTAAAGAAAATAAAAGGAGGAAAATGCCCATGTAACTGATTACAACCTAAATAAAAATCAGCTTAAAAATATAATACTGGAGAAAAACACCTTTAAGAATCACCATTGAGCAGAAGAGCTATAAAACTATACAGCGGCAGGCTTTTTGTTCTGTAATCTAAGCTATTGTACAACATGCATGCATTATATGAGAAGGACCTGTTGAAAACAGATGAACTATGAAGTGGCATTGTTAAAGCGAATGTGTTACGGATATGTCGTTGATGAACATTATACCTAAAAATTAGTTTTTCACGTAAATAAATTGGAGTTCCAGATCTTATGTATAAAGGTTAGATAGTTGTATTTAACTAAATATGAATCGTACGCAGTTATTGTGTACTACAGACATTCTGTTACGAATTGCAACAACCAAACAAGGATGATAAACTAGATTACACTAATTAAAAATAGATAACACAAAAGATTCACACAACTTTTTTCGCACTTTAAAATTCTGCAAATTTTTGTTCGCATACAGAGTTCTCAGACGGATGTAACTTCTTTGTAAGAGGTTATTTAGATGTTCACGAAGCCGCACGTCTTCATCAATAAACACACCTAGACACTTGATACTTTCAGAAAAAGGAAGATTTTGATTGTTAATAGATACACTCAAGGAAGCTTTGACCTCGGCTCTTCTGTGATTTGGACAAAACAGCACAGCAGAAGATTTAGAAGCATTAACGGTTAGGCTCTTATTGGCTGAGTAGGTGCAAATAGAGTCATTGTCCTCGTTAATTTCCATAGTAGCAGTCTGGAGGTGCTCAGGATAAAAGAACTAAAGCAGTTGAGTGTCATCCGCATAAGACTGTAGCTGTGAATTTTGAATGGACTTAGCAATATCGGCTACATAAATAAAAAATAACAAGCATCCTAAAATTGAGCCCTGAGGCACACCCGAAGTGATAAAGTGCTCAACGGTGGGTTAGGTATGATTTAAAAAACTGCAGTACTATTTTATCGAAACCATAAAATTTTAGCTTAGCACACATCAGTGCGTGATCAATTCTATAACAGGCCTTGGAGAAATCTAGCGAAACTAAGGCGACACACATTTTTTTTATCAAGGGCGCTGATGATGTTGTCCACTAAATTAAGGAGAGCAGTTGTAGTACTGTATGATTTTCTAAACCCAGACTGATGTACTGGTAGTATGTCACTTGACTCTAAAAAATCTAAGATTTGCAAATAAATGGTTTTCTCCAAGATCTTTGACAAAACACTCAAAAGACTGATGGGCCTAAGATCCGAGAAATTGGTGGGCTTCCTGACCTTAGGTATTGGCCTTACTATTGCTCGTCTCCAAGATTTAGGAAAGTAGCACTTCTCAGGACACAGATTGATAATATGGGTCAAGTAAGGTAGTATAATAGGGAGAGATAGCTTAATCATAAAAAGAGATATACCGTCAATACCCTTTGCATTTGACTTAAGGCCACCCACAACAGTTTTGATAGTAGAAGGCTCAACC